CTCTCTCTCACACACACAGACACACACACATACACACTCTCTATCTCTCTCTCTCTCTCTCACACACACACACACACACACACACACACACACACACACACACACACACACACACACACACACACACACACACACACACACACACACACACACACACACACACACACACACACACACACACACACACACAATCACACACACACCCTGGAGGGAGAGAGAGAGACACATGGCAGAGGAAGGTGTCAGGAGACCTCTCTTATCTCATCCTGTCTCTTCATCTATCACTTCCTTTTTTCTCTCGCTCTAATCTGGCATTATTTCACTCTCACCCCATCTATCTAATATTCCGTCATGACTTTCTAGCTCACCTCTTGTCCACTTAACACGCTGCTCTACTGTTACATCAGCTCAATACATCTATATCCTTCCTTCTACTATGTATTTCACTTTTAATCCAGAGTTGTCTGTCTTCTCTCTCAAAGGCAAACCTGCCCCTGCTGCAGAGAGAGTTGCTGCACTGTGCCAGGTTGGCTAAGCAGACCCCAGCTCAGTACCTGGCCCAACACGAGCAGCTTCTCCTGGACGCCAACGCCAGCTCGCCCCTCGACTCCTCCGAGATCATGTTGGAGTTGAATGAGCACGGCAAGAGAAGGACCCCTGACAGGTAGCGTATCTCCATTAATTACAAAAAAACACATACAAACACATTCAGAGGCGGATGCGCACACACTTTGGCAGACTCTTGCCCACGCTCTGTTTTATACGGCTTATTTAGAGGTATTTTAGAATGCCAAGTGACAAGAGGAGGCTATAAATCTTCGGTGCGGGAGGCGGAAGTCTGGATATCCCCGATGCCAGGTTGGCTCTGCCAGCTGTCTGGGAGGGAGGGGTGAAATAAATGCAGTGTAGGAAAACAAAGAGAGTGTGTGAGAAGAGCAAAGAGAGACAGACAGGGAAGGGAAGAGGGAGTTAAGTACTGTAACTGTCCTCAGCACAACCCAAAGACCAACAGCTGCAATGGTCCCACATTTCTCAAGACAAATTAGCTTTCTTCCATTTTCTTCCTCCTTCACTTCCTGGCACTGTCCTTCTTCTTTCCTGATCACCTTTTCACCTATCTGTCTCTCTCTATCACTGTCTCTCTCTCCCTCTCTCGATCCCTCACTTCCTCTCTCGTGCTGCCTGACCTGTGGGCTCCCAGCAGCTGTCCATATGCCAGGGATGTGTCCAGATGGTGATGTGCTGACCGTAACACTGAGCACATCCTGAGCGGGGTTTGGGGAGGTGGGCAGTGGTGGTTTTGGATGGGACTAGGGCTTGGAGCTGAACGTGCAATCCCACTGTAATCCACACACCTCCGCCTACTGACCTGTGGTTTATACACAGCTGGGGGGGTGGGGAGGGCGATTTAAGCTGGGGCAGGGCCTACATCGCGCCAGCTGTTCCTCTGAGTTGTCAGATACTACAGCCAGGGATGTGTACGATTATAGCTATCATACACAAATATACAAACACACACACACACACACACACACACACACACACACACACACACACACACACACACACACACACACACACACACACACACACACACACACACACACACACACACACACACACACACACACACACACACACACACACACACACACACACACACACACACACACACACACCATCTCGCAGCATTTATTTGCTTTGATCCCCAGGATGATAAATAGTGATTTGCATCCAGGGCTTGACTATTGCCATCCAGCTAAACAGATTAATATCAACACTCCCATTTAAACTGTCCAGATGGCTGGAAAACACAACCTCTCACACACACTGACTTAAAGTACACAGACAGTAAACATCTGCCAAACACATAGCATTCAGCCCATATTGCCCCTAAAGCCAGAGAGCAGAGTGGGAGGGAGAAGGAGAAATACTTGCAATCTAAGAGTTGGCTGAGGGATATTCAGATTAAGAGCTTGAGTTGCAGGGTGTACAGTTGGACTTGGCTTTGTTTGCTACATATGGCGTACAGCTGTGCAAACGCTTTTGTGGGGGCCTGCCTTACTGTAACTGAACAAAAAGGCTCTCAGCCAGAATACATGTGTGTGAGTTTGCATACACCATGTGAGAGTTGTTTTTGAACGTTTGTGTTCCTGAGGTAATCTTAAAAAAACACTTTGAGAACACAAACAGCAGAAATGAATGATATCAGTCTACTTGTTTAGCATGTTTTTACAGCAGGTCATTTTTCGTCTGTTGATCTGATCTCAAGGGCATTCTGGTCTTTGCTGGGGCATGTTTTCCTAAAGTGTGAAGTAATACACTGGCATGGCATATTTAGCCTGGCAAAGCCATCCCATCCCACTGTTTTCATATTACTCATTGTGGTCTGGCAAGGCCATAGATGGACTAGCTGGAGAAACTTGACGCACTAAACTTATTTCTCTTCCTTTTGACAAACGGTGTTAAAAAAACCTCAATGAAAAAAAGTTGAGAAGAGAAAATAGCTTCAATAATGGCTTTTGTTTTTAGATGCTGGTCCAGTAGGCTTCAAAAACCATTTCTGATTGGTTCAGTGTTTATTTAAAGCAGTTAATCGATTCTTTGGTAGATTTTTGTGGAATAATGGTAAATGTGGTAGTGGAAACAGAGATTAGAGGTAGTCTGTCTCAAGTGGAAAATAAAAACTAGATTGTACAAAGAGAGATTTTCTTTTCCTGTAAATAATATGTATTTTCGAACACAATCTTTTGCTTAGGGGTGTCCTTTTGATACTGTATTCTGCTAGCTGTGTGGTGCTGACATTATCTGCTGCCAGGCCAATTCTTTTAAAAGGATATCGGAGTCTGGGCTACTACAAAATACCAATTATAGTCGCCTCACTGCATTAAACAGTATCATGGTAAGGCTTGCCATATACAACATCACATCTATGGTGGTTTTAACCCACTCCCATGTCTTCCTTTGCAGGACAAAAGAGGGCTCAGAGAGAGACGGCATGCACCCGGAGCACCATGCTAAGAGGCCCTGCACCATCAGCCCCAGTCAACGCTTCAGCCCCAGCACAGGTCTTCCTGCTCACCCGCCTCCCAACGGCCTCCCCAACCACCCTCCCAACGGCCTACCACATCCACCCAACCCCCAAATGGGACCCCAACACTATCGCTTAGAAGACATGGCCCTGGCGCACCAATACAGAGACGCTTACAGACATAATGAACACCGCGACACCCGAGACAGGCACCGGCCGACAGGTAGGACGGCTGCATTCACGCAAATCTATGGCTCTAAAGTCCTCAGTCATACGGTCAACATTATCTGCTGGTGTATATCTAAGTGGGGTGTATGTAGAGAACAAAGGCCAGTTGTCAGCCCGGTGTGATAATCCTTTCGGCAGTGCGTCTATATAAAGACCACATCCATACATGCCTACATGCTACAACTGTGGCAACCATATGCCTTCCCTCTGCTTTCCCGTGAAACACATGAATTATTTGCCAAATTGTCTCACAGACGAGGCTATGCAAATACACAATATGCTGCTTTGTTTGAAATAAAAAATGTCAATCACTAAATTGACAACTTAACAATAAGAAAAAACAAGGAAAGGAATAGGTCAAATCTATTATGAGAACCACCAGAAATAAATAACGTTTTGAGTTGGCTGCTTGGAGTCAGTAATACAATATACTGTATAAAGTCTACTGTGTTGAGGTGCTGAATCTGAACCATGTTTTTGTCTTGTAGCAGTGCATGGAGCCCGCCAAGAGGAGGTGATTGACCACCGTCTTACTGATCGAGAGTGGGCAGAGGAATGGAAGCACCTAGATAATGTAAGTATCAACATGATAGCTATGATTAAAGTCATTGGTTTCATTCATGAAGGAGTGGAAAAAAAGAGCTAAGAGCCAAACAGGTGATCGAAGCTAATTTTAGTGGGACAGGAGCTGTTGACAGACAGAACAACCTCCGTCCCATCTGAGTGTGCAGTTGACAGACAGCTGACCATAAGAGGTCTGTGTCAGAGGGGTGAAATAACAACAGATACACACCTATAAGGCTTTCTGGAACCCAACTATAAGAAGACAAAACCATGCTCACACAAAACATAGACTAACACACACACACACACACACACACACACACACACACACACACACACACACACACACACACAGAGAGAGAAACAGGGCCCCAGATGGAGCTCAGGACCCAGCAGAGCGCAGCTCCAGCTGGGGAGAGCAGCTGAGACAAGAGCTGCAGTCATGGAGAGAACCGGCCAGGCCTGGACCCCGGCCAAATTAGAAACACTTCACTGAAATAAATATAGCTAACTCAAAAGGGAGGGAGGGAGTGGTGAGACAGAGGGAGGAGGCAGAGACAGAGAGGGAAAGATCAATGGGAATAATGATATGAATTGAATGTCAACCATGTAAAACACATTTAGCAAACCTGGCCGGGTCTGGAAACAGGGCACCGTGGAAAAAAAGTGACACTGTTTACACCACGGGGGAAGGAAAGAAAAGAGAGGGAATCTGTTGAGTTGGCAGGGAAAGGAGCAGAAGGGTGGAAGGAATGGGCTCGACTTTTTCATCAGCAGCCCAGCTGTTACACTATTGTTGTTGTAATGCTTTTAGACATTGAAATTCACCAACAAGCACACCGTCCATGAACAAAGACAGAAACACACAGAAACATTCACATGCAAACATGCACGTCTGCTACGTGGTATGTCTTTAGGACGTATCAAAATATTGTGTGCAGATTTACTGCAAGGTTCCAAAAGCGACCTTTGCCTTTTAAATTTGCTTCCTTCTTGTGACCTTTGACATTTTTTCATGGATTTATACAATTTTGTTGAAGTAAAAAGTATTTACTACTGTGTAGATGACACATTTTTATCTTTTTGGGGGGACTTGTTCTTCTTTGTGACGTGTGAATTTGCAATTTGAATTGAATGGGGCACTTCTTCCATTAATTTATCACAGAGTGACTTTTCAACTCATCAGCATCCTGTCCCATTGCAGCTCCTGAACTGCATCATGGACATGGTGGAGAAGACGAGGCGCTCTCTGACGGTTCTGCGCCGCTGCCAGGAGGCCGACCGGGAGGAGATGAATCACTGGATCCGGCGTTACAGCGACGTGGAGGAGATGAAAAAAGGTGGGAGCAACGGACAGCACTGCCTTCCTCCTCCTCCTCTTCCTCCTCAGCCACCTCCTCCTCCTCACCACAACTCCTCCTCCAACACAGCTAGCAGCAGCGAGTCACTGCCCGTAGGAACTCCCTCGGCTGCTGAAAGGCAGACAGGCAGACAGACAGGTAGACAAACACACACAGGGTCTGTTTGGCAAAGCAAAACACTTAGCAAGATAGTGCTTGTTCAAAATGCTAAAAAAGAAAAAGACCTTTGTATCCATTTACAAAAGTTAGATTATGATATTTTTCTGAAAATGCACAACTCTAGATTATACTTTGAAGCAATTCAAATCAAGTTGCAACATTTTGGATCTTTAAAAAATGTATTATAACCTAACACAGCTAGCATACTTAATAATGTTATACATTTGTATTCACTTTTCTTACTCCCGTGTTTACTCCTGAATTCTATTTCTTTCACAAAAATAACTGAAAAAGTGAATGATGACTTATTTTCTGATGTGATCACACATTGTTTCAAAAAAATAATGGAAACTATAGGGTAGTCTTGTGGATGTGTGTTTGTGCAGATCAAGAGTATTTCACTGTGTGCAACTGAAACTGAGACTGTGCCTGCTTGTTTGTTTCAGAGATCCACAGAGACTTCTTACACAGGCCTCCATCAGGATACCTGCCAGAAGAAATCTGGAGGAAAGCCGGTAAGAGTCGGGCATCCCCGTTTCTATATTGTCTCCATTATTGACCCCAGACAGAATAACAACACACACACAAACACAGAGTCCCCACCATAAGTCTTTACGGCTCTCCTCCTGGCCATCAGGACACACAGAGCAGAGGCCTTACAGCTGCAGGTCCATCAGGGCAGAGGATTGGAGGCCCTCTGTGTCATTAGGGCTAAATGCTCTCCATCTGTCACCACTATGAAGGGCAACTGCAGTTAAAGCTGCAGTGAGAATGCATTCACCTGGCAGGCCGCAGGAGCAGAGACCAGGTCGGAGCTTAACTGGTCTCTGTTGACCTGAGAAACACACCCTTTTAAGTGTTTACACCTTATTTTGATTGTTTTGTAGCAATACACACAGTACACACACTGACTACTGAATCCAATCCAGACATTTAGATTTACAGACAAACCAATTCTGACCATGGTTATTCTCTTTCACTCAGTTTGTAGCCCAGGTGGGGGTGTTGCATTGCATGGGCCATCTTGTATGGTAAACATTAGATAAAGCCCATCCCAGGAGTGAACTGGTTCAGCCCTTGTTCCGCCCCAGTCCCAGCACTATTATACTTCAATGCCCAGCGGAGGGAAGATGCTGCCGCTGTCGGAAAAATGCTGTGCTGCATTTTCACCTGCAGGAAAAAAAAGCTCTTATTAATTGCAGTTGTTTTTCATACAGGTACTACAAGCATCCCACTATCCCCGGCACTAAAACACCTTCAAAACAGGCAGGGTGAGTAACAAACCTACATCATCTCACGTGTGTGTGTGTGTGTATGTGTGTGTGTGTGTGTGTGTGTGTGTGTGTGTGTGTGTGTGTGTGTGTGTGTGTGTGTGTGTGTGTGTGTGTGTGTGTGTGTGTGTGTGTGTGTGTGTGTGTGTGTGTGTGTGTGTGTGTGTGTGTGTGTGTGTTAGTTTGATGTGTGTCACCTCTATCTCAGCAGCCAGGTAGTCTGCAGCACTTCTTGCTTTTAATTAAAAACAGACACGCATTCTCTGGTCTGGTTCAGGTTGAGAGACTGCAGTGCTTTTAAAAAATAAGATCTGAAGTGTGAAAGGGAAGACAGAAAATAACACGTCTCAGGGACTTACAAAATCCCTGTGGAATTAAAACGTTAACATTGCTGTCCCTGTGTTTTCCATTAAGTGCTAATTGCCCCAGCATCTGCTATGCAGTCCCCTTGATAAGAATTAATTAAATTTGCAAACTAATCTTAGTGGTGCATGCATTAGGCCAGATAATTGAGAAGCTCAGGATAATGCAGATAGGGTTTTGTAAAGGAGAGAAGAAAGAGGAAGAGGAGGAGGAGGGGGAAAAAGGGAGTAGAAGTTAAATGAAGGTTAAAGGTAGGGAAAGATGGAATGAAGGAAAGCATTGAGACATATATCTGAGTGTGACTGTGTGTTGACATGATTGACAGAATATTCACATTTTAGTATAAGAATCAAGCTCAGACATGCACACACAGCCATGCGCATATACAGTATACAGCAAAGAGCTGGATAAGGCTCTCCCACTCCTATCTTTTGTCACAGTAGTTTGAAACAAGTGGAGTGGAGAGGAAAAGTGACAGTTATTTATGAGTTCCCTCTCAAACAAACACTGACTGCAGGAAATAGGGAGCAGTGGAGAGAACGATATCAGTCTCACCTCCTACTTAGGTTGGCCTAACACACCTGGATAGCCACTTGTATGTGTGGCAATCGTGTATAAGGATGTCTACTGTACATGGCACATCTGGAGGAGGTGGAGGTGAAGGGGAAAAATCAAATGTAATCTTTTAAAATGTTGCTGTCTTTGATCGCACGGGAAAATGAAAACCACATTAGCATATTAATGAATACTACTTATTTGGAAACCTATTTATCAGGTGTTTAAAACCCATAAGAGAAATCATGTAATGTAAATGTGTTGTGCACCATGAGGCAAGTAATGAAAGATGCCATAAAGTAATCACTCCTGCCTCTTACTAAGAGAAGACTGAAAGAAGTATCTATTTTAGACTGCCATCTGGAAAGGAGTCTACACACCTGCCTGTTGTAAAAACACAGCTTCCTCACTCATACTGTTTGTGCTTCTGCCAGAAGCTTTGTAGAAAGCCCTGCAGTGGGGATACACATGCCCATTGGTGGGGAAATTATTTACTTTTCTCTGTGAACATTGTCTAGCAAATTATAATAATATTATGTCTATGATATGATGGCAGCCATGCAAACCGGGATTCCTCGGATGTTGTTTGAACAGCCAAGTTAGTGACAAAACTTTGGAGACATCTGCTGTTGTCAGCACTGGAAATGATTGTGGCCAGACGTGTTTGAATTAATTATTGAAGTCTGGCTGTTTCCCTTTTCTGGAAGAAAGTTTTAAATCTTGGATGATGTACATCTGTTCGCTGAGATACAACAAGATGGCAGCTTAAAGAGTCTCAATAAAGGATGACACAGCAGGCAGGATGGGACGATGGCCGCATGCACTCACACCTCTCTCTTTCTTCCTCTCTCTCAGAGGAGGCCGTGAACGAGGTGAAGCGACAGGCGATGTCAGAGCTGCAGAAGGCGGTGTCAGACGCCGAGAGGAAAGCTCATGAGATGATTTCAGTAGAACGATCTAAAATGGAAAGGGCGCTGGCCGAGGCCAAGAGGCAAGCCTCTGAGGAGGCACTCACAGTCATCAATCAGCAGGAGGACTCCAGTGAAGTGAGTATCACAGACACCACCCCACTTGTCAACTCATTCTCCAGTGTCTTGTTCTTAAATCAAATTTCACCTTCTTGATTTTAAAGGCTTTAAAACAAAAATGATCTCAACATTTCATAAATATCTGTGAAGTAAACTAAAGGAAATTATTTTTCAAAAGTTTGAATGAGGCTGTCTTTAAGATATTAACAGGATAAGGGCACAACGTCTACCTGAACAAAAGCTGCTTTACTCACAAGGCCTTTACTTAATGCTAAACAGCCTCGTACTGCATTAGGAGAGTGCAAAGATTAATCAACAAAATATCTAATAAAAACAATGGCCAAGCGTGAGAAAAAAAAGTTAAAGGTTCTTAAATATAACAGAAAATCTGATCCCTGATGCAATATTCACAGGAAGTAATCTGCTCAAAATGTATTGAACATAGTTTGCATTGTTGTGCAATACATATAATAACATCTATAAAATATGCACGTTAACGTAGTTCAGGTTTGGTTAGTTTACTCCATGATAGAAACGGGGTCCCTTAAGGAAAAGGTTAAGAACCACTGCTCAAATTCTGGACTCATTTTGTATCGCTACATCTATCACCATAAACCTTGTTCCCCTTGTCCCTTAAGTTATCCTGTATTGTGAAATACACACAGCTGGTTTCTCTTGGTTTGTTGCTACACCATGTTGTCATGATTGTCGAAGTCCAGTTGTCAGTGTAAATAAAAACAGACAGACCCAGGTGGTCGGAGAAGAGAGCCAGACGTAGAGCCTTTACAGAGCAGTTGACCACCACCTGCTGGTTACACAAACTACAGGCTTTGGACCAGGACATAAAGCCTTACAATCCAAGCCCTGTGCAAAGAGTAACAGAAAAACCCTCGATACGTCAAAGATTATAATGGACTATTTTATAAAGTAATCACTTTTTTTAAGGTTTCATTGTATTCATGTTAGAAATATTTAACTGTGCTTTCCTGGGAAAAAAAAGAGACTTATTTTTATCAACCCACTCTCTCCCCACTGTCTCACCAGAGCTGCTGGAACTGCGGGAGGAAAGCCAGTGAGACGTGCAGCGGCTGCAACACGGCTCGCTACTGCGGCTCCTTCTGCCAACACAAAGACTGGGAGAAGCACCACCATGTCTGTGGTCAAGGCCTGCAAGGGATGCCAGGGAGCACCCCCTCCTCCTCCACAGTGTCCTCCAGTGCGCCTCCCACCCACTCGGAGAGCACCCCTCCAGGAGCCTTGTCCTTGGCAGGCCAGAGTAGTATTGTGGGAGGGGCTGGCAGCGGCAGTGGAAGTGTGTCTGCGAGTCCCAAGGAGAGCAGCTCCAGCAGTGCCTCTCGCTCCACAACTCCAGCCACCCCCGCCCTGCTGGATGCCACTTCTCGCTGACGTCTGATGCTTGTCCCCTCCCTGAATACTGATGCGACTGTGCTCACACTCCACACAAAACCAAACTGAGGAATCTTCAGCGCACACTGCTCCCTTTCCTCTCCCCCAACTACTTATTTCCCTGTTACTCTAAGCTCTTCTGGGAATCTTCTCACTACCTGATGATAGACTTTAACCGTTCACCTTTCCCCAAAAAATAATTTTTCTGTCTATGTTCTTTCACAACTACAGCCACAAATACAAAGATTCCAGCCTGGCGTTCAGTGTAGTGAAAAGCACGGAAAGTGTCTCCTATCTGAGTTCAGTCACAGACTCATGTTGGATGTGTTTGATGAAAATTTGACTTGAAGATGTGCCCTAAGTTATTGAACACGTTGAACCTGTCTACACAAGACAAGTGCTTTAGTAAGGCAATATTAATAGGGGAATGGCTAGGCTGATTAGCACTTGGATTGGATTTCCCTTTAATTTAGCACCAATGAGAGAACAGTAGTCAGCCCTGAGATGTGTACCCCCAGTGCAAACAGCTCGCTGATGTGGCACTTATTCTAAAGTGAATATCTTTTTTTAAAGAGACGAGGGAAGGGGAAATCCGTGATGCGACTTATTCCTCCAAAACACAGCTTAGTATTTATTCAAATGTTTCTTTCTGGCTTTAAGGTAAAACAAAGAAAAGTCCAAATATTCTAAATGAAGAATAGTAGTGATGGTGAAGCTGATGTTGACGATAATAATGATATGAAAATAAATAAATTTTAAACTAGTAACTACCTTGCTAGCGAGCCAAGAAAAATCTACACCGGACTCACCTCTCTATACCATTGTGAACCCAAATGAATTCAAAGATGAAAAATAACATGATCCAAACCTTTGTATTACACTGCCAAAGTGAGTAAGTAAGCGATAAGGAGAAGCACTCATCTTATAACCAAACGCAAAGCAACATCACCTCCTCAGCAGATAAGTCAGCCCTGAGAGGACCAGGCTGCAGAGGAGCTGCAGAATGGGAGATATTCAGACATTTAAAAATACAAACTGTGACCTGCTTTGATCTGCAGCTGCCTCCTGCAGTCTGGACAAAAACTATAACAATCCCTCAGTGACGGCCCAGACTCGTGAAAATGGACAATGCTGTGAACTTGCCTACAAGAAAGACTTAATTCAATAGATGGAAACCCCTGCCACAGTGTGATTTTTTGAATGGTAATTGAGAGGACAAAAAGAAAAAAAGAGGGAAGTAAAAGCTACACAGCCTAAAAGAAGGTGACCATACAAACACGGCGTAGGAGATGCCAAAAACCTCAAAACAAGCTTGAAAACATTGTTTGTGAGTCATTTTCTAAAGCTCTACAACGAGGAGATATTTCAAGGAATTGCTGTTACCTTTACATTCACTCCCTCCTTTTCCAAAGCATGATGAACTGATGACAGAGCCTAGTGAAGGGCGTGAAGACTTGGTTCTCCTCTCTCTTTCTACCTCCCCTCACCCAACACCTCCCTTCTACGCTCTTCCCCCGACTTCTGACTGGCCCTATCCCTGGCCTGCTTCGGACAGAGCCTCTGAGCAGTCACGTGGGAAGGGTTCGAACCTGCTTGTAGATATTGTTCCTCTTTTCAAATTTCAATAATGTCTCTTGTCGCGGATGTCCTCATGTGCTGCCCTTGTGTATATCCAGAAACACAGACTTTGTTTTGGTTTTGTTACTTTTCATTTTCCTCCTTTACGTTCGGGCGGAGCAGTGAAGTCAGAGCAAGGAGGACTGTTGCTAATGAGAGGAAGCCCCACATTGTACTTATTGTTTGATTTGTTGTATCTATATTATTGAGATGAAACCCCTCTTGTAGAATATTTTGTATTGCTCGCATTGTAAGACAGTGAGAGGACAGAGGTGCAATATGAAGAGAATTCAGCTACTGAATGGAACCTCAGCAACTGCCCATAGGGTGTCATATAATATAGATACATATAAATATATTTAAAGTAACATCGGTAACTTAATGTGAATGTACATAGTATTTAAAGAGGTCCAAAAATGTGTTTGCCAAATAACAGAAACCTTTAAAGTTTAATGTCCAGAATATGATTTTCTCACAGTACATTTATTTCTAAACATTTCTCAAATGTCCTTTTCTTTCTCTCATACTATTTTAACTCTTTCAACTTTCACTCCAATCAAAGTGTCCCTGAGTGGAGGAAACTGTTGGTAACAAGTGTCATAATGCAGCTGAAAATGGATGAAAACAGATTTAATGGTGAATGGACACTACAAAACCTCCAGAACATATTTTGTATTAGTTTATTAGGCCTTAATTTACAATATTTGAGAAATCCAAATCATGATGCACCACAAAAAACCTTTTACAAAATTAATCAAATGTATTTTACTTTAATCTGATTATGTTATGCAATGGTAAAAATAATCCATGCTTCATTCTTCCCAGGTCAGTTTTCATCCTGCAGGAGGGGCCTCAACAGTGTATAAAAAAAAGCCAAACTATATTTAATAGTTACAAAAAAAAGGAAGGAAATAGTGGTGGTTCAGTTTCAAATTTGGATCATTCAAAAATAATCAGGAATTGTAATGCTTATATATTCTATTATGTAAAGTGTTCTGTTCCTGCCACTGACCCTCTATTTCTTTTAGTCCTCATCATCATATTGTGTGTGTGTGTGTGTGTGTGTGTGTGTGTGTGTGTGTGTGTGTGTGTGTGTGTGTGTGTGTGTGTGTGTGTGTGTGTGTGTGTGTGTGTGTGTGTGTGTTTAGGAGTATTTGTTTCACCCAAGGTGCAGGATAAGCCATTACATAATATGCCAGTATTAAGCTACAGTAAACCTCTAAGCTCATTTTGATACCTGATCTTTTTTTTATTTTAACTGATTATTGTTTATTTCAAAAGATGCATGTTAGGCACATTTTTCTCAAAAAAAGATTTCTCCAACCTTTTTCCATATATTTCCACATTCTCAAGGAATGTGATCACCTCTGTTTAACACAAGTATGTAAAGCCCTAGACCTTTACTTACAGTAAAGCAATAGACGGCATGCAGCAGCCTTTGTCAAACAAATGTAAGATTGATAATCGTAAACTCCCAAAAGTTGGCTTCATTTACAGTTGGACCACAGACCTTTGTTGTAGCAGTGACTGGCATAGGAAAATTGTTCATCAACATCTCTACTAAGTGAATAATTGTATTTGGACTATCTGCGATACATAATTCAAACTGCAAGGTACCCCTGCATCTGTGTGTAGCATTTATGTATGTGTGTTATAATTACTTGGATATGTTGTTGGCCTCAGCCTTCTTGTGTCATTTTCTCCTTATCCCCAATGTCTACTTCCTCCACTTCTACCCCGCACCCTCTTTGTAACACCCCTTCACACTAGCTACCTCCTGTGACCATACAGCTAACCACCAGGAGAGGTTGACCTGGACTTTGAAAAGCTTGGCTGAGAGCAGACGTGGAAACGCACATTCAAAGCAATCATATGTGTCTGTCTAAACATTTTTAAATCAAAAAAAGTGTTGAAAGGAATTGCCATTACTCATGATGTGGAGCAATATGTATTCCCACCAGACCTCAGCTGCCTGTTTGATCACCTTCCACCAACTGAACTGCTGGGATTTAGTAATAGGTACACATACAGTCAAACATGCATATTACCAAACTGAACACTCAACCATTGACATGCCATTTGTTGTCCAAAACCAATAAAAGCACAGACCAAAGTACTCTATTGCCATAATAGGCTTTGACACAGTGTGTATTGACAGACCAGAAATAATAAGTTTAGAGCTCCACTATACCAGGTAACCAAAGTGTCTGAAATACACACAATCAGGGCACAAGAGTGAAGAGCATGCTTAATGAACCGGCTGACTTTCAAATGTGTAGAGTTATTTTTCAAGCAATCAAAGCGCTTGTTGTCTACATATTGACTAGTGCTTCTATAAAAGATAATAGAAGCTTCTCCTTAAGAAAAGCCTACTGATTGCGTGTTCTTACAGTTACAAAGCCTTGCAGAGATAAAATGAATGCATGGTGGGTGTGTGTTTGTGTGTGACTGGTGGTGTGTGTGTGTGTGTGTGTGTGTGTGTGTGTGTGTGTGTGTGTGTGTGTGTGTGTGTGTGTGTGTGTGTTTTTGTAAAAAAAGAAAAAACGTTTGCTTCTTGTCTCTGTACAAACTACTTGAAACTTTCAGAGCTTTAATGAAACATCCCAGACAGACTATGGTGGCATATCTATTCACAATATGTAGCAACAGCTTTGTGCAGTACAATACTGTGTTTGCGTACAATATTGAAACAACATTTAATGGCAGTTCCATTCAACTCCTCAATGCTTTTGATTGTGCATCCTTGTCTGCAAGTAAGCCCTTAGAAAAACAAAACCAAACATAGTAACCACTTATAAATGACCAAAATACAACCAAAAGATACAACTTTTCTTTTTAGATTTCATGTTGGTTAAGGGATTTGTGTTATTGTCCCGGCATTAGAACTTCAACACGGTTGATTGTGTGGGTGTCCTTCACTGAGATTCTCCCTCCTGATTTAATTGAAAAGGAAACAAAAGATGTTCTATTCAGCTGGGTGCTAGCTTCCTTAATTTAAGAAACAAACAAGATTTGTTATATACTTTTCTCTGTACAGATAATACAGATGGCAAATGCATAAGGGCTCTGCTTTTGTGAATATTATCCAAGGGTCTCCGAACACTTTACACCACCCACTTTTCTGTTTGTTCTACTATGTACATGATATGGGCAAAACGCATGTTTAGAAAAGGCAAAGAATGGCAGGTTGGCATTTGTATCTACTTACCCCAACCAGTTACTCTACCAATGAAGTTTCAAGACTCATCTGATGACACATCCTTCCTGTGAAACAGGCACTGATGAAGAAAGCTAAAGTGGAAAACAGTGGGTACAGCACTTGTTTTCCCTAAAGCTATGGCTCAGGATGGTCCTGTTTATACCTTTACATAAATGGAAAAAAAGGTTTATGTTTTTTATGTGTAGGGAGGCATTCTATACTGTATTGTGCAATACATTATTACAGAAAAAACATTTTTCTGTAGGAGAGGTTGGCGCCTTGAAGATCGTTCTCCTTTTGTTTTATTTCCCTCTTCAATAAGGTAATGTTACCGTTTTTAGATGAAGTTAACTGTGCCAGAAGAATTCAATTCTGATTTGTATTTATTTCTTGCATGCTTTCCTCCCTGTTGCTAATACCGCTCTTTAACTGTTCGCTCTGTTGGATGTGTGAAGCTGTAAAACATTCTAATTCAGGTTATTGTCTGTGTTGAACAATGTAACTGTGTAATTAAAACATGAAATTAAGTATTCATTACTCTTATTGCTTTTCTTCTTTAAAGGGGCTTTCTAAATCTGGCGAAGCTAACATGTTATGGCTGCCGGATTTGGCACCCCCTCCCCCCCCTCTGTACCTTTGGCCAGGATGGTCATAACCTAACCAAAATCACACTTTTGTTAGTTATTCCATGCACTCTAGTTAAAGAAAACAAAAGCATTTTACTCGGAATGCATTTTCTGAGACTACAACGCCTCAGAAAAGGAAAATGATCCATTGTTATTAGTAAATCATTACTTGCACAATATGTAAACCTCAGTCATATTATTTCCACACCTTAGGTCTACAGCAGGGGTGCTCACACTTTTTCAGCTTGGGAGTTACTTTTAAAATGACCAAGTCAAAGTGACCCTGCCCAATGTCATGTGGTGAGGCCCTCTGTGTCGCTTCAGATGGCTTCAGATGAGGAGGTGAGGCCCCCTCCGCGAGGTGAGGGCCCACGCAGTCTGCGTGATCTGCGTGTAGGGAGGGTCTGTCTACATTAAGAATGCTAAACATACATTTATTTGTATATACTGAGTATAGGCTACATTATGTTGGTGTACCTTGCATAACTGCATGAACCCGTATGGCAAAATACAGCTCAGTACATTTTTGGTCATTACGTCAATTTTATACCCTTTCTTTAGTAGAATTGTATAAATTGGAAGGCTAACTAGTAGTCCAGCAGGAAGGGCCCTCAGATTTTTGAGATACCCCTACCCGAGGTAGAACAAATGACAACAATGATTTTTCTTATCTTTAGGGTCTCCCATTAATGAAATTGATTGTTGTCAAATTTTATTTTGGGGGAAAAAATGTTTTTTTGTTTGTTCTATAGAAATACCCCAATCCCTGAAAAAGAGCCAAATTAGACCAGGCCGAATATGGGAAAGGTGACCAAAAAGCCCATAACTTGAGAATGACCACTCTTTTCCTCTTCAGATTTGCTGAGGTATGAGGTAGCTGTCCTACATCACTAAATAGTCATACAATTATTTAACTAAAGAAATACTGAATTATAGTCCTGTAAACTTAGCTTTAGTTTAGACGAAAATTGTACTTTTTGGTGATAGGAACATAGGACTCCATCACTTTTCTCTCATTTATCAGAAAAACAGAAATCCCTAAAAGATATACCATTACTGAATTGTCTAGGGTGCTATTGAACACTAACCAGTAGTTGTATGGAAATATCTGGTACAGTTCTATTTCAAATGAGATTTCTTTAAACATAGACCTACCTCTTCTCTGAGACAGTCACATTTCGAATGGGGGAGAAGTGGCACAATAGCTTATAAGTTAAGAATGCTCACTCTGATGGTCATCATATTTGGAGAGGGAAATACCAGGTGGCTGAACTACAGCACCAAATAGTCAGAATAAGAGTAACCCAATACAATAAAGTGTATTAGTTCTAAATTGCAAGCCTCTAAAACATAGGTGTAAATTGTACAGGTTGTATTGAAAGTGGAACCTTAATTCAAAGTACAGTATACAAATCATCAAATAATTCAGTGAGAGGCCAAGTATATAGATACTAGAATATAATGTTAAATGTCAGGTTCCTCAGAAATGTTAGGGGACACAAGTTGACATTCTGCACAGCAGGTGCGGAACCCCGTACAGGGAAGGCCAACAGAGAGGCACTGGCACTTTCCACTCTCTCCACACTTTGCCTCTTTGCAATACAAGTGACTAATGTCTCTCACTTCGGTGCTGGGGGCTTTGTAAATAGCACTGGTTGAATGGCCCCATCTCTGACAATCCACCCCCTGCAAACAAGACTCCATAACAAGGGTTTGGGTTCGGGCTGTGACACCATATCGCTGTCTGAAACATTGCTCTTTACATTTTGTTGAAATGCATCCTCTGTTGGCGGCAGATTCTCCGAGGCTGCACNTGTGTGTGTGTGTGTGTGTGTGTGTGTGTGTGTGTGTGTGTGTGTGTGTGTGTGTGTGTGTGTGTGCAGACACTGTATGTATGTCTTTCGTAGCACAGAGGAAAGACATACATACAGTGTCTGCACACACACACACACACACACACACACACACACACACACACACACACACACACACACACACACACACACACACACACACACACACACACACACACACACACAGTCCTGAACACTGGCCGTATAAACATCAATCAGTATTTACCTTCAGGAAGGGAATGACGAACGGCCTCAGAGGGAAGTTGGTGGCCTCATGAAGTTTGGAGTGAAACTCTTCGATGGTGAGGGTGGAGTTCTGCCCAAAGACAACACGGAGGGTTAGCAGAGTCACAAAGAGACAAACTAATACAACACTATCCTACAGAGTAGCTGGAGTCCCAAAAAGGATTTTTTTTAAGTTAGTCATGTAAATCCATGGTTATTATCCTTTGTGCCCAACATTAAAAAATGTAGTTGGGGGCAAACTGTATGCAATATATGAATGAATAAATGGATATAAATGTGTGATTTTGGAAATATTAATCACAGTAACACCACATGAATCTGATCACCACTTACCACCAGTCCCAGCACGAGGCTGCGCACTCTCTCCCCGATCTCAGGCGATATGTCGTTGCCAAACTGCTGCAGCGTGGTCAGGAAGCGCTTCAGTTTGCAGAGCTGCCGGGCGCCACAAGCTGGCGGGAGCTGCTGGTTGGACAGTGAAGCCGTCGAAGACATGGCCGGCCCATTACTGAAGCCGTTAGGAGTGGACGGAGCACCGTTCAGCGATGTAGGAGAGTGGCTGCTTCCATTCAGCACTGCAGATTAAAGACAGAAGGAAGAGAATACGTGAATTGGGTCAGTCATTTTTGAGAGTCCTGGGGGCATCTGACAGACCTGGGGGTGTGATGAGGGCAGATGCACTTATATCCTGCTGATAGAGGAGTGTGTGGTTAAGATGAAATATTAGTAAAGCACACAAAAGACTTACATTTGAAGCCTGTGGCATGAAATGCACATCATTCAGTGGTTCTGCCAGTTGGATTGAGCGCTGTGTGTGAGTGTGTTTGTGTGTGTGTTTGCTGTAACCTCAGCTGTCTCACAAGTGGTACCATCTGACCCCCATCCCCCTCCATCTCCCCCTGTATCAGTGTATTCCACTCTGCTCCTCACCCTCTCCCCCTCTCCCCCTCTCCCCCTCACTCACTCACTCACTCACTAGGACACAACTATAAGAGGAACTTGTTAAAGAGGTGCCAAAAATAGTGCCGTGGCCTGTGTTACTTTTATTCCAATAGCAGGTGTGTAGCTAAATCTGGCCCTACACATGTCCACCAGCTGAGAGTAGATTTGCAGCTTTAAGGTTTAGAATAGACTCGGCACTCAAATATATAATCACTCACATAGTCCTTGTATTGCCGGCACAAACAAACTCACAAATAGCTCAAACACACACACACACTCACGTGCATATGCATGCTGAGTATATATTTCATTTATGTGAGAAAATATAGATTTATTTAGTGAAAACTGAAAACCCTTTTTAACCATATTTGGTCTCGTCAGTGTGCCACATGTTTTTTTTTGACATTTTTGTGAACAAATTATGACAAAATGAAACTGACTTCTCTAATTTGAATCAAACTATATATAAATGTACCCATAAATGAATGATTGCATGTCATTATGGTAGCATATGAAAGCTCTTAAACTACATAAAAACTATAATTTTATCAGCGCTGAAGCGACATCATTTAAAAAAGAAAAATGCATTTACAGGACTCAGCAGTGAGCTATTGTGGAATGCACCACTATATGTTGTAAACAAACATGAAAACAAGACTACATACAGTTTACTTGCTGAATTATTCTAGTTATTATATATACTTCTTGTTGCTTTAATCTTTGGGTCGAGGGCCTGAACACATATGGACTTACCCATGGGATCCCAACAAGCAGCGCTTGTGTTCTGGTTTTAGAAGAGGGAGAGAGCTACACTGCTGGCTGCCCGCCACAACAGGTGAAACAACATGGCCTGTCATTGCTATATAGGGAAGAAAGTAGTCTATAAACCGCAACGCCACCCTAGCCATCGTTGCCCAACCAGCTGGTAAACAACACGGACACACATGACCACACAATGCCACAGCCGCACTCGCACATGCGCTCAGAGACACTTGTCCCACTAGCAAGGGCATTCTACACACCAGAAGACACACACGGATAGATGCTTGTAGAGACACACACCTGACACACAAATGACTCCAACACTTGTTCAACAGGGAAGAAACACATATTTGTAATGTCTCTCCCTTTACACAAGCATATAAAGTGTCCACGATAGTTGATGTAAGAGAGACAAATGGCCGTGTGGTGCATTGTAGATTCCCTGCAGTTTCAAAAGTGTATTAAATTGTGTAATTTATTACAGACTGATGAGTGAATCCTTTTATTTTAGCGTTTAGCGGACTTAAAAACACAGTGAAACATCGTCAGTAAAAAAGCATTCTTACAAGTTCACTTTCAAGGCAAATTACGGACCATTTAAAAAGAGTTTGGTTGATAATTGGTGTGAAAAAAGGGAGAGTGAGACTGGGAATGACAATGTGGAATCAAACCCTGGACATACAGTAGTGATCACTGATGTATCTGATATCCATATTAACCTCTGGGCCACTGGTTCACTCAATAGAGCACAGTTTTCATCTGGACACAACACTAAGATGTGCATGTCATCTATGTTGAGAAGGAAGGTTTCAAAATCAGTGAAGAGTTAGCACCTCACATAAAATAGTAATGAAAGGGTCCTTACTTGATTTACTGGTAGCAGGGGTGAATGAAGCATTACGATTGGATGCCTGGCTAACAGCCGGGGGTGGAGGAGGCATGGTGGGTGGAGTGGACCTGGGTTGGGTTTTCACATCCGCAGGTGAATCTGGCATTGTTCCAACCTTCTGCACTCTGCTACCTGCCATTTGAAAGAAGGAGAACAAAAAGAAGAGAATCATCAACATGGTGCTCCAGTATGACAAAAAAAACCTATTTACAAAGAGGAGACAGCTGGTTAAGGACCACTGACATTTTCACCTGGGACCCATCGATTGTTTCCTTAAACCAGAAGCCCCATGAAAACAGCCAAAACAAATCAATGCAGGGAGTGGAAATGAATCCAAACTTCCATTGTGTCTCTCTTGTTGGAGATTCATGGGCCTGGGAGACATACAGTAACACCTGCTCACTTGCTCAGCTGCTGCTCACTGAACCCCCCCTCTCTTTTCCCTCTCTCTCTCTCTTACACACATACACTCCATGTAGCTCTGACATCCCAATCAGTGCCCCTCCACTGTAACCTCCAACCCCCAGACACACACACATATATTCACATGCACACACTCTTCCCCGCCTGTCCCCTCTCGTCCCCTAGTTCAGACAGCCGGCTTGACAGTCAGTGACAAGTGCAGCTGGATCTGCTGCTGTCCGTCACTGTGGCCTGCATGGCTTTCAACAGAGTGCCGTCCTGCTACCAGAAGCTTCACTGTCCTCTGCCAGACACCCTGCCAGCACCAAACAAGGCAACCCGGGCTCTGTTGCGTGAAGGGAAAGAATGTTGGGACATGGGAAGAAAACATGACACGATGTTCTGGGCCCACAAGTGTGTGAGGACTGTGGCCTTACATTGTGTGTTTGTGGCAGAGGGCCTCATCCAGTCCCTAAATACAGTGTGTGTTTGTCATGCACACAACTGCATACACAAGTCTGAATACATAAGCAGCATGTCTGTTATTTTGTGATATATATGTTGACTGTCTTTATGTCTATGTCCGAGTGTCGGTGCAGCTGCTGGAACCAGATCTTCCTGCAATGTAAACTTGAGCTGGGAGGTGTGATGACTTTTGCAGCCTGTGAGCAGATTGCTTTAGAGTACAGTAGGTGTACATGTGTGTAACTGGAAGGGAACGCAATTAATGTGTGCATTGCAATACAAAAATCAATATGCAGCTCGGTTTATATCTTAGACATAAATGTGTGTGTTTCTGCACTACAACACAACACCATTAAGTGTAGTAAACAAATGCATTTATAATCTAAGATCTTTTATGCACAAGCAAAGCAGATGTAAACAACATCATAGACTTTATGTGGCATTCATTGATCCCTGATAAATCTCTTCTCTCTGTTTTTCTTTTTCTGTTCTTTACCTGTCTCTCAATGTATTACAGAAGAATAACCTTAGTCTGATCTCGAAGGATCCCAAACAAAAGGCTTATTTCACATGTTATATTGTAATGTGCACAGGAGACTAGGCTTCTGCAATTAACACAGGGAAAAATGTAGAGCTGCAACTGGTTATTTGTATTATCGATTAATCTGCAGATTATTTACTTATTAAATAATTAACTGTAGTCTATGAAACGTCAAAAATGCCATCAAATATCTGGTTTTGTATTAGTCCAAAAATAAAATAAATATAGACTTTAGAATCAAATAAAGAGCAAATCCTCTAATATGAGAGGCAGGACAAGAGAACAATTTACCTCTTTTGCATTATTTGTGCTGACATATGGAAATAAAAAATGTGTAGAAAAGGGGTTATTATTCGGCAGATAGCAACTTGATATACTAATAATAAAAAACGAAATTCCAAACGCTCATGGCCTTTCAAACATCAGAACAACTTTAAATCTATTGTAGTCACAAACTAACAATATTAATAACTTCAAAATAAAGTGTTTTATTAATTTCACTCCTCGTGAGCTAACTATAAACCCAGTGTTTTCCTCCACAGAACTCCTGCCTCAGTTGGCCTCAGTCCTTAGTGTTAGCCTATTTCTGAGAGCTCATGTTAGATGCATTCAACAGCTGGTGTCTGTATTTAAAGAGTTCCACTCTGGAGTGTGCTGCACGAGGGCCATTGACACAGTGATCCTCAAGAACACGAGGGGCACTCCGCTGTTTTGCCGAAGCCATACGCACTAAACATAAACACACAAGGTGGTAGATAGAGGCAGATGGGAAGCGCTGGTATAAATAGATGCAGCCATTTTCTTTTAAAGATCTCCTAAACACACAAACAAGCTCTCTGTGCTGCCGCATTGGTGGGCTGCTTCCTGTAGAGAGGCAGCCATATGTTTCAGTAAACCTCCTCTTTGATCAAATATACTGTGCCACTGTATGCAGAGTGTACTGCAGGACTGTGTTATAGAGAGTAGTTTATTTTCCATACAGACAAGTCTGAGGTTACACTCAAGTGAACAAAACTGGGCCCACGTGTGATCCAAAGATCAAGAGGGTGATGTGAAATGTTGTCTTTACAACACAGCTATTTTTGTCTCTTCTTTGAGAGGACAGGAGAGGAAGATAAGGGGCCGTGCTGTCTGTCTGCTCCCACCGTGGGATTATGGACAGCTGTTTAATCTGACCAGCTACAGGGACAGGGCACACACATACACACTATGCTCTGTATTTCACTTTAATACATCAGGAAGTCTGCTAGATCTGCAACCCCGTCCGGTGCCATCTGTGCTCCCATTGTGCTTTGTGCTGAAGGACGAAACACTCACACCGAGAGAAGTAGGAATATAGAGAGATTGGTATATCAGGTAAAACAGACCTGTGGTTAAAGGTCCAGGTATGGAGCGTACGAATGCTCCTGTCTGCAAGCTGCTCTGTTTCACCCCGCAGGTTTTTATCTGGCTCTCTGAGAGGAGCCACTTTGTGATCAATACAGCTGAGAATAGATCTGCTTGGGGTACAGATACTTCCCAAACATTCACTATTGAGTATTAGCCTGAAAATAAAACAATACAATGCAGTAATTTTAACCTTCCTCTTTTCTGCTGTCTGTATCTTACTCTCTGAACAGCTGCATGTCTGCATATTTGACGTAATCAGGGCTAAAAGATTGCTCACCAAAGAAACAGTCTGCACTCTGAGTTCTAAAAATGTTCTCTGTCTTCAACTCTCTCCTTGTGCCATGATGAAACAAGATGAAAAACAATTCCCTGAGAGACACACAAAACCACAGATCATGAACTGTACAACTGCAAACACACACATTTTATGTCATGTTTGTAGAACTTTCTTTTGGGGTTTGTTATAGATTTATGACATTTGCCTTCATTAAACCCATCAAAACAAGCATACATACACAGATAAATAACATCATGTCATGATAAGCCATTAAAGATACAATTTGGTCTCCTTTCACATTGGCATCTGTCCTATTGTTGACTGTATGCCTATCTGTGTGCATGTGTGCCTGTTCTTCCTCTGGAAATACAGCTGCAACTTATTAGCTTTAGCTAACCACTGCACAACAGTCCCCTTAAATCCCCCGTATATTCAACCTCTTGTACTCCACAGAGAATCTCGTCAGTGACCACATAGCCTTAAAACTCTCCCTATGTCTCTCGCTCCTTACATCCCTCCCTCCCACTGTAATTCCCCATGTCTCTAGGAATGCTGTTGTTTTTAATTTCTCCCAGCTGCTCTGGCTGGCTGCCCGGCCGCCTGCCTTCCCACATCTGTTCCCTATCAGGCCGCTGAGGAGTCCACACAAACAGAGCCTGAGCCCCTGGCCCCCAGCCTCCCACCAGGCCTTCGTATCAAAACATGGGGATTGTAGCCCTGGACCTAAGACTTGGGGATACTGCACCTAGAGCATCCTGCACTTTCACACTACTAGCCAAAATGTCATTAAAAAGAAAAAGACTGCTGACATCAGAAACACACATAAGTGCAAACACCATCTTCCTCTAACCTAGAGCAATCTACAAAAACAGATTATTTTACGTCTGATACTTCTATAATCTGATATATGTCTTCCTTACAGTGTGAAGTCTGAACTCTACCACAGGTAACATGTGTGTGTGTGTGTGTGTGTGTGTGTGTGTGTGTGTGTGTGTGTGTGTGTGTGTGTGTGTGTGTGTGTGTGTGTGTGTGTGTGTGTGTGTGTGTGTGTGCGTGTCAGCACACAGCCTGCTCCTGCAGACGGATCCCAGACTCCACTTCATCTTGAGCTGATTTAGAGTTCAGAGGCTTTAAAGCCCTCACTAATGACAGGGTGGGAGACAGGCCAGTTCAGTACATTCACACACACACTCACACACACTCACACACACTCACACACACATACACAAACATAAATAGATACAGAGATGTATGCACACATGCTCGTAAGTTCACCAAATGCATATGCTCATGCTGCGGACACAAACACATATTTTCTCCCTATGTTACTTGAGAATCCCTGTGATAGTACATATGCAGTGCCGGCTGAGCAAACATGTTGAACAAAAAAACAAACTGCTGGTGGGGGGTGGGGGGTGGAGGGTTCTCCTTAATAAGCACTGACAAAGCCCTCATGTCTTTGATCAGGTTACCATGAGCAAACCATTGACAAATCAACAGATTTAGGTCAAAAGTTTCAATATTTTCTTTAACCTGGCAAGAAAAACAAAGATAACTTGATGACAGGCAGGGAGTGGGGATGGATTAAAGGCAATTTATCCAGGGCTAGACGTGCTAAGGGTGGAGAGGAGTTGTACTTCTGTGTCTCTGAGCTGCAGGGATCCTGTCACACAGTGCTTATATCTGTGAAAGCTGTTATTGATGTAATTGTATTGAAGTTCTAGCGACCATCTGTTCTCCTTTGGGAGGGCCTGGCTCCTCTCGTCGGCAGTGAAGTGGTTATGTGCAGCATATCACTGCTGCCGACGTGCTTGCAGAGAAAAAACTTCCTTTTCAGATTTTCCCAACGGTTGCTAATAAAATCCAGATGCTAGACTGGAGCCGTTTCTGCCTGGCTCCCTCACCGCTCCCTCTTCCTTCTATCCTCCCTCTGCCTCTCCATCTTCTAACCTTCTATATCTCTTAGTCCCCCCCCCCTCCTCCTCCTCCTCCTCCTCCCCTGTCCTTATACATTGCTAATCATTTTGCTCTTTTCATACCTTTCCCCTTTTCGCTCGA